TTGATGGCAGTGGGCTTGGTTTTCATGAGTTTCCCCCACAGTGATGGGCAGGTTCTTAGAAAGATCTAGTAAGTCCGATTTAAGGTTTTTCCATAGACGCATTTCTAATATAGGGTTCTGTTTCTGATCAAGAGGCAAATGAGTAGTAACTTTTTGTACAAACGACCACAAACACCATGCGCCTCCAGTTTTATGGTCCCTCACCTGACAGTCCAAAGCTTCAGAACACATCTAATACGGAAGCCCACCAAGGAGATCATTCGTAAGACAGTGCCTGGCAACTTGTCTTGCAACTCTATGCTTCTTGCCTTGTTTTCAACCTGCAGCGAGTTAGACGGTTAAGGGACATCTATACTGCACTGGTAGAAGTCATTTACTTTTGAAAAAGGTTGGCAGTTACAATATTCTGCCTGCTGTTTTTAAAAAAAAGAACATCTAGAAAAGCAGGACTCGAGAAGGAAGAAAACACGTTTTAGCTCCTCACGTTCTCTCCACGGCATTTTGAGGGACTGAGGAGAGCCGGGTCACCTCTCCGGCCTGTCAGAGGGGCGCTGTGTCAGTCTGGGTACTTGAGAGAAACAAATCCACAGAAATGGATGTATAAGAGTGAGTTTCATATAAAGGGTAAGTGTGCATCAAGAAAACATCCCTACCCAGTGCTGCCCAAGCCCACAAGTCCAACATTAACCCATGTGTCCAACACCTATCCACAAAGTCCTCCTCCATCTCACAAAACACGCGCAATGACGCCGACTGCAGGAGGAAAGCTGAGTCAGTGAATGTGTAAGCATCTCAGTACTGGCAGGGGTCTCCACACGGCTGCTCCAGCACTCAGGGCTGCATTGGGGTAGGTCCATGTGGCTTCTCCTCAGGGATGTCTTGCAGGAAGTGAGCCTTGCAAGCTAAAGCAGGGAACTAGCTAATGCAGCTGCACTCTGGTCAGACCATGAGAAAGCAAGAGACCCGAGAACTAAAAGGCGAGGCTCACTGAGCCATTTATCCCCCTGCCTTCAATTAACCCCACATGTGTTTACGCTATTGCTTTAGCCTGGACATTCTCAAATCTTCTTTTTCCTTCTCTAGCTTTCTTGAATTTAAAATCCTATCATCATTTAAGGCACAGCTGAGAATGCCACATTTTCTGTGAACTGCCATCCTAGGCATTGTCCTTGGTGGCCTGGGTTAAGGACCAAAGTAGTCTTTCTCCTTTCATTGTTCACAACTGAATCCGCAGAGTGGAAAACGTTTCCCTCCCTTAGTAGCTTATCATCTAATAGAATAAGAGCTCTGCTAGGTGCCTGTACAGAGGGTTGTGAGATCACAGGGGGATGGCTGGAGGGGTAGGGAAGGATGTCACCCAAGAGAGGCTACAGGAATGGGTTTTGACGATGACTGGGCTTCGCTGCTCCCTGGCCTATATGGTCAGAGAGGATTCATGGGAGGCTCACTCCATGTGCGGACCCTGCAGATGGATTTTGGTTTCTCACTGCCATCCATAACCTGCAAACCAGGTCCCTCACAATTTAAACTCTGATACCATTCCCTCCTTTGGATTTGGGTTTTATGATTTACAATCCTTGGATCACACTGGTATGGTTTCTCCATGTGGACTTAGTTGATGCCTCACTTAAATGTCTGCTTGCCTTTAACGACCCCTGATGCTTTTCTTTCCGATAGCCTGGCACCATCTAGTTTCTTCGCCACATTTTGCTTGAGCAAAAGCATCGATATTTTTAAGTTCCTTGACCTTTGTTGCAAAATTAGGACAGCAGCAATTTATATTCTCATTAGCAGCATATACTAAAATGTGCTTTTATATAACACTACTCCCGTGAGGGGCTGTGCGCTGTTCACATGCTCAGGCTGTAACTCAAGGCGAGGGGCTGTGTTGCATCCTTCCTGCCTGAATGTTTGGATATGCCAAATCTAGTGACCTATGACGATAACGTTAAATGATTGGTGTGTTACTGTAAGTTGCTTTTAACTGAAGGAGAAAGGGTAATTGCTACACTTGGTTCAAGAAGTAGGAAATGATGGCTCTTCTGTATAAAAGCCTAAGAGACCCTTTTGATAGCTGGATGGGCACAGCCTTCATTAGCATGGTCCGCTGAGCTGCTGCTAGTATTTGGGATCTGAAAACGGTTTATTGGTGGTGGCCTCTGATGAACACATCCATCAAAAACACATTTATAGTAGCTTCCTGAAGTCTTTATGCCTAAGCACACAGCCTCCACCATCCACAACAGCCTGAGTCAGTAATCATGATGGTCTGCTTTTGAAACCTTAATCTACAAAAACAAGCTTGAACTGTTTTAGTAGTGCCTTCATAGATTTACACTTGTGCTTTCATTTTTATTAACTTAAACCCGACATCCGCACTCAGGATTAGCGTAAGAACACACATGTCTATCAAGCGCATTTCTTCTTCTTCCTTTCAAGCCTTCAGTCACGTTTCCTTTTCGGCACATTTCATGACAACAGTCACCATCATACTTGCTTCGCTGCTTCTTGGCTACTGCTTAAGACCACACCAAACCCACTGCCAGCAAGCTGATTGGTGGCAGGTAGATTTGAACCGCTGACCTTTCAGTTACAGCCCAACACCATTTGCGATCCGTATAAATAACCCAGCAGGAGCCCTGGTGGCGTAGTGGGCTATGCAGTGGGCTGCTGACTATGGGACCAGCAGCTGGAATCCACCAGCCTCTCCTCAGAAGAAAGACTAGTCTCGGGGACCCAGAGGGGCAGGTCAAAAGGGAAAAGGAGGGGAGGGGGAGAATCGCAGCACCAGGATCGAGAGTAGATATTCTCTGCCGGCCTTCCCAGATCTCTTGGAAAACCCAACCCATGAAAATAGCATTTTGATAGTATGTGGTGGTGATCATGATTCATTACGGCCCCATGGCAGAAACCACTTAGGCCGTTACCTGTCCCTAGGGAGCCCTTGTGGTGCAGTGGTTACACATTGCTGCGCTCCACGTGGGGGGCAGTTTGGAACCACTGTCAGCTGTCTACTGAGCTCACTACTCCTGTAAGCAGTTACCTGTAAAACAGCAGCCCACGAGGTACTAGGAGTCGCACCTGCACGATGGCAGTGAGGGAGACCCTTTGTAGGCGGATGGATGTCGCCTATTCCAGTCTTACTGCTCTTTCAGTTGGAACTGAAAAGAGAAGATATTACAGGTGTGGATTTTGTAGTTTATGTGCATTATTAAGCAGTCACGTTTGAAATGTTAACAGCTAGTTCTGAAGTTTGTTTGTCTGTTTCTTTCTGTAGATTGGGATTTTAACCAAGACCTCGGACAACAGCGAGGTAATGCATGTTGACCCTGTGCTGCGTGTGCTTGTGCACACCTAGGGGCATGTTTGTTGACAGAGTTCTGGGAGGGCCATCTTTGTCTGCTTTTCTGAACATTCTGTCAAATGCAGAGCCAATGTTTGCCTTCTGGCTCTATTCGAACTGCCACCAACAAATCCCAGCCCTGTTGTTTTCATTGCCTCCAGCTGACTTGACTTGGCAACTTGACAAGGTGTGGTGCAAGCTTGGCCACCGCTCCTGGCATGCCTCAGGAGGCCGAGGACCGCGCCAGCCCTCCCCCGCCTCGGCCTCAGGCCAGTCGGCAGCCGGGCAAGCTAGGCTTTTCAGGGTCTTGAAGAACAGGGTGCCCACTCGCTCTCCCCAGCCCTGAGTAAGTGAAACCAGGCCGGGTCTGGCTTGTCAGATAGCCTTGCGCATCTTCATTTGGAAGCGTTCCGTGTAATATTAGAAATAGCCATGGAAAGCGCACCGTGGTCATCTGGCCTATCACTCAGTGTGGCCAGCTGGTAACTTTAGGGCAAGTAAGTTGGTGAATTCTTGCATTTCCTTAGTGACCTTAGAATGTCCTTTCTTGCCTTAGAATTTAGGTAAACTCTGACTTCTGGTCCTCACTTCCCCCCCCCTCCCCGCTCTGCCCTCCTTCATGAGCCCTTGATAATTTATAAATTATTATTATTTTGTCATGTGTTACACTGTACGACGTCTCCCTTCACCCACTTTTCTGTTGTCCATCCTCCAGGGAGGAGGTTATATGTAGATCCTTGTAATTGGTTCCCCCTTTCCACCCCACCTTCCCTCCACCCTCCCGGTATCGCCCCTCTCAGCACTGGTCCTGAAGGGATCATCTGTCCTGGAGTCCCTGATTGTATATATTTTTAAATTAAACCCAGTGTCGTTGCCAGAGTGCTTAGCAGGCATAACCATCTGAAGTGGTATGGAACTAGTTTAATTTGTTGATTAAGCACTTTGACGTGTCTTAAGATAAGTTGGGGGGAGGGAGGGCGGAGAGAGAATGTTTGGGTTTGAGGGCTTCCAATAAATCCTCCCTTTTTTCTTCCACTTCAAATTAGAGCTAGACAGATGAGTCAGTCAGACGGAGAATGCAAATCAGGCTTTGGACTGAGAAAAGCTGGAGGCAGGAGCCTGGTCCGCAGTAGGCTTCCCAGTTCTGCGCTTCTGCTCTGCTCCCCGAAGCCCCACTGCGCTGGGAACAGTGCACGCCAGGAACTAGGATTTACGTTTATTTTCCTGCCCTGCCTCATGTTGATTCAAGCGGTGGGGGAAACGAGGATTCCTTGTCATGTTCTTATATCAGAGTTACAAGTGAACATGTACAGCATGGCTTCTTTCCATTGTTTGTGAAGCGATGGGTCAATCGTCTTTGCTCCAGAACTGCCTCATCTCCCAGCACCTGTCTCTGTTCCTGTGCTCCCTGTAGGCGCCAGATGTGGAATCCCGCGAAGGCCTGATTAAAAGTCACTACATGGCAAGGGTCGTGGAACTCACGTCTCAGCTGCAGCTGGCTGACAGCAAGTCAGTGCATTTTTATGCCGAGGTAAGTGGACGGCCCATGCGGTTCCTTCTGCAGCTCCTGAGGGATGCGCTCACTCTCCCCCTGCCGCGCACCAGAGGGGTGACGACAGTGGCCAGGTGTTCGCCTGCATTTGGTTGGCATTCATGTCTCTGGTCATTTATTTCCAAGTGACTGAAAACTGTTTGGCGTCAGAGAGGTAGCGCTTCCTGTGGTCCTATCTGGCTGGGAGCATTGTGACCACAGAGTCCTTGTTAGAGCGTTAAACAAGAGCAGCTGCGCGCGCTCACAGATCGGGGGCTTTTCAGGGGGAGCATTTGGACAAGTTAGACAGCACACCGTGCCTGTGTCTGATTCCTTTCTCCATTTCTGTTTACTTATTTATTATCTATCTGTTTACTTATTCCCCCCTCCCACCCACTGAATTCTCCAGTTGCCAAAGGACAAACATGTGGAAGTAGAAATCCCTGAAAATGTGATCTTTGCAGCCTTAGAGGATATCCAGACCTCTTGTTCTATTCCTGTCTGCCCTCACCAAGCAGATGCTTTCTTAGGCGAATTAGACAACCACCGTGCAAGATGATCACTGAAAACTATATTTGGGGGTGGGGAGGCAAGGAAGAAAACACAGGTATCAAAGAGTGATAAACGAACGATAAGACGAAACGATGCTACGAAGCAAGAATACCTTTAAGGTGCCTGCTTTGAAACTTTATATTGAGAGGGTCAGTGCTGGCTGGCCGGCAGAGAATCATGATTTGCAAATTGTTAAAGAAACAAAAAAGAAGAGGCAGCGCTCTGTCCTGGGCCCTCCCCTGCCTCTCTGCGAGACTGCAGCGGAGAGGTGGCAAAACAGCGGCTAGAGGCCTTGGCTCCTTCCCCCCTTTCCTTGCTGAAACGCAGGATGTGACCTGGCTGGCTGGCTCCGTGCCGGTCACAAGGCAGCCGTTGGGTCCGTATTTGGTCAACAGACCGCAGTGGCGGAGTGTGGTGGGCTGCAGGAAGGGGAGAGGAGGGCAGCCTGGACGACGTGCAGCGGAAGTGCTGGAGCTTGCATCACCTGAGCCGTGCGGGGCCGCCGAGGGCCGGCCCTGGTCGGTTGGTTCCTGTCTGCTTTCTGAGCTCGTGTCCCCGACCTGACTGCGTACTGGGCATTTTGGGGAGGAGCTGTGCCCTGCACATTTCTCCCTCTTGGTCAGGGTCCATGCCAAGCCCGTGGTAGATGCCTGGTTAGTGGGGGTGGCCGCTTTGGTTGGCTGAACTGCTCTGGAATTCTCTTATAAGGAATGAAATGAGTAACTAGATAATTTGTGAGGCCACCGCATTTCTGAGAAGGTTTGTTTATCTTAGCGAATATCTTCAGCACAATTGTGATACGGGAATTTTTAAATTGTGCTCGTTTTTCCTTATGTGTAAACAGGAAGTGGTGAGCTGCTTGCAATCTGACTTGGACGCAGCTTTTGACGGTGTCTGCAGGCCCTCCTCGTCAGCCCCAGAAAGCTTAGTGATTGTCTGATCACTGTCCTCTTTGGAAATGGCCTGAAATACAAGCTTTTCGTTTCCTCCTGATGGCCCACCCGGCTTCTAGTTAGGCTAGGTTTGGCAGCCTTCTGCCCGGAAGGCAGCTGGTCTCTTTACAGTCCTGCGCTCGTTTTTAAAAATTTCCCATGAAGATGGAGCCTAATCGGGTAGGAGCAACCATAAAGCTTTTATTGCTCCTGTGATGTGGTCCCAAACAGGGAGTCAGTATGAGAAAAGTATGTCCATACTCTGTGGTCAGAAGCCATTGATGACTTCTGAAATAGCCGCTTCCCTTCGCAACCAATGTGAGCCAGAATGCGTCCTGAGTCAGAGTGGAAACTCCTTACGTGCTGTGTAACGCTGGGGCTGGCAGAAAGTTATCGATGAGCATGGGATGGTAGATTATGTCCAGTTCCTCTTAAATGTGTGTCATCTCTGTCGCTTGTTTAACATACTGCTGCTTACTGGTCTAGTTTGAAGATTTTGTTTTCTTTACGTTGAGGTATGATGCCTTCTGAATAAAGGCTGTTGTCTTTGATCTTCCACAGCAAGTGCTTCAAGTCCTGTGCGCTTTCAGCAAGCAAAGCAGTGTCACCTGCCTAGTTTAGATTGGTCATGTGCCTCCCTCCAATCCTGATGCTGCGTTCTTTTTCATATAGTCTATATTCTCAGATGATTGCATCAGCATCCGGATTGACAATGGTGAAAAGGGACAGTCCTGATACCTACCTTTTCTGATTTTGAGCTACCCAGTAACCCCGTGTTCTCTACAAATGACTGCCTCTTGGTCCATGTCTAGGTTCTACGTTGAGCACCATTGAGTGTTCTTAAGTCCGCATGGTTCCCAGTGTTATCCGTGATTTGTTCTGATTCGCAGCCAAATGCTTTTGCATAGTCCATGAAATGCAGGTGAACATCTGTGCGGTAACTGCCTTCTGACCCAGCACTGATAGCCATCGTCCCACATTTCTGCTGAAATCAGCTGGGATTTTGGTCAGGTCTCTGTTGACGCATTGCTGCACCCATCTCAAGATGATCTTCAGCAAACCCCTGTGTGGTATTAATGATAATGTTGGATAATTTCATACTCTATTGGAGTATTTTAAGTTGGGTTTAGGAAGTGCCCCTGAGTGATGGGATGTTCTCTGATCTCACAGTGCCGAGCACTCTCCAAACGGCTAGCCTTGGCCGAGAAGTCTAAAGAGGCGCTGACGGAGGAGATGAGGCTGGCCAGTCAGAACGTCAGCAGGCTGCAGGTGAGTTCCTGAGAGGGACCTAGCGACTTTAACATAGTTTTGTGCTGTGGTGGCTGCAGGTCTGTGGTCAGCAAACTCAGCTCTTCCTTTCCCAGGCAGCCACACTAGACTCTAGGTGCACTTTTTCTAAAGAACCTCATTGTGGACCTCTTGTAAAGTGCCATCTGATATCAGGTGAAAAGTGGTGGCGTTGATTTGATTTTAGTTTTTTCAACTGCTTTAGAGTCAGCATTTCCTGCAGTAATACTTACTTGCTGTATTCCTCCTTTCTCTTCTTTCCCTGTCACTCCCTGTCACTGTGTACTATGCAGCTGTTCTGCACATTTTGCTTCCTTCTTTTTGATTCATGAAACCGACCTACACAGAAAGGTCGTTGTTTTTGTTGGTTGCTGTCAAGTTGATGGCACCCTGTGCGAGGGTTTGGAAACCACCAGGGCTTGAAGGCGCCAACGTTTTCAGAAGCAGCTTGCCAAACCTGTCTTCTGAGCGCGTCTGGGTGAGTTTGAACTTGACAACTTTTCAGCTTCTGGTCCAGCGTTTTTAAGGCACCCGTGAATGATTCCTTCTAACTCACGACCTCTTTTTAGTAACACTGCCTCCAGGAAGCCCCCATTATACATAAACGTGATGCTGGGTGTTATGGGTGGAATTTTGTCCCTCGAAAAACTGTGTTAATCGTAACCTCTCTCTGCCCGTGGTGTAATCTCATGTAGCATGTGTCTTGAGTTCATCTCGTTTGAGATACAGAAGAAATTAAGCAAGTGAGCTGAGCAGAGGTGGGGCAGACTGCCAAGACGCATGAAGACTGTCCGGGAGCAGACTCTCACGAGAGACAAGGCCCTTCCCTCAGAGCAACAGAGAAAAGCCTTTCCTAGAGCCAGCAGCCTGCGTTTGGACTTCAAGCCTCCCACACTGTGAGAGAATAAATTCTGGCTGTGGTGCTTCTGTTACCACAGCGCTAGGTAGCTCAAACAGAACTGGAACCGTCAGAGTGGGTGCTGCGGCAACGGATCCCTAAATTTGGAAGCAGTTTTGGAATTGGGTCATAGGTAGAGTCTGAGACTACCGAATATGTGGTAAAAGCTTAGATTGCCTTGAAGAGACTGTTGGTAGCATTACCGACATCACAGACAAGTCTGAGGAGGGCCCAAGAAGAAGGCGAGGACGGTGCTGGAGAACGCCCCCATCGTCTCAGCCAGTGCATGTGAGGCCCCGCACAGAATGCCACCAGACACGGGGACGTCAAGTCTGCCTCTTTCGAGGCTTTAAGAGAAAATTCTGAACTGTGATTGGACACGAGAAGAAGGGAGATGCTTTCATGCACTTGTCTGGAATCGGTTCACATGTTTGGTGGAAGGTAGAACTTGTAAATGATGATGAACATAGACGTCTGGTTGAATAGCTTATAGAAGCAAATTTTAAAGGAGCCGCAGGGCTTCTCAACACTTATAGTAAAATACGAGAGGGAAGATACGAGACTTAAAAAATGAACGGCGTAAAAAGAGAACAGGAGGTAAAGATTTGGAAAATTGTACAAACTAAGTGCATGAGTCCTAGAATTTTCACCAAGGACATACCTACACAATCTTTTGTTAAAGAAATCAAGTATCTGATTCACGGATCTTACCCACTACCACAGCAGAAAACCTACCAGCTCCGACTGAGGAGAACAGAGAACAAAAGCAAAGCACAGCGTCTGCCTCTTGGAATTCTAGTCTAAGGACAGGAGACAGGCCCGGTGCTACATCTGTTGACCTTCAGGAAAAGAAAAGAACCATCTTTGGAGCGGCTCAGAGGTCGGCAGAGCGGGCCTGCCTATTCTTCAAAGCATGGGTTTCAGAGGCACAGCTTCTCCCCTGGGTTCCAGAGGGCCAGGCTGCTCCTCCTCAAGTGCCAGGGGGCGGGGACTGCTGCCCAAAGCTGAGCAGGTGGGGCAGCTGCCAAGGCTGAGAGGTGGGGTCACCCGCCAGTCCCAGGGACTAGGAGAATGGGGCTGCCATTAGGCGGGAGAGCAGAGCTGCCATCCAGGTGGGACTGGCCTCTGTCCAGAATCCAGAGCACATGGCCAGTGCCGAGTTTAGAAGGTGGGGCCATTGCCCAGATGTTCCCAAAGGAAAGGCTTATTTTCAAGCCTCTCAGCTAATGTACATGATCCTGCCGGGCTTGCACTCACTGGGAGGGCCTACTATCTCCCCCCACCCCACCCCCGTTTTCCCCATTTGTAGTGGAATACTACCTACCCGCCCCCCCTCCGTTTTCCCCATTTGTAGTGGAAATGCCTGCCTTGTGCCTAGTCCACCACTGAACAGGCTCTGCCCAGCTCAGCCATGGCTAAGGCAGCATCTACCACGGGACCTGGTTTGGATTCGTATCATGATGGTGATTCAGAAAGAGCTACCGGGGAAACAAGATGAGGCGAACCCTTGCAGGAAGCATCATCTTCCTCTTCAAGAAGAAAGGTGGTGGACAAGTTGCACAGCCACGGAATCTCCGGTCCTTAGATTTCTAGCATGATCTAAAGCACTCACTCAAAGATGGCGGCTGGCTGCCCCACCTTGAATGTGTGCCGCTCTCCTCCAGTTCTGTCAGTAATCTAGTCTCCTGTAGCAGGCTCCTGAGAGGGCTGCTGCTGATGCTGCTGCAGTCTCCCATTCCAGGGCTTCAGTGAGTAACTTTCCATTCCAGGTACCATCTCGAATGTGCCAAATTGTAAAACTCAGGATCTGTTCCCGTTACACGTCATTGGCCATGAAAGAACTAATTTAAAGAGCTTTGCCCGTAACTTGGATGCTCGTAACCTGAGGACTGCCTTTACTTTGGAAACAGATAAGAAGTCTCCCCCATAGCTGATTCAGAAGCTGGGACCGTGGAGCCGGGTGATTTAAGACTTTGGATGATATGGTGGGTGAGTGTGCTTGCACGTGGCAGGGACCTGTCTCTCGGAGGGCCTGTTCTAGCTCAGCAATCTGTACTCCTCAGCTCGGCCTCCCACAGCACTTGCTCTGCTCCTCAGGTCTGTAATTCATGACACTGGCTACACACAAGTCCCAGACAGTGCTCAAATTTAGAGCATTTATTGTGGAATCATACAGATTATAATTCAGGTGAGAAATGCACAGGACACAGTTGTTCAGCTCAGATAGCCTACAAAGTTCTTTGTAGGGCTGCTAATAAATGCCCAAAGGGTATGCCGCTCCGATGTAAGGCACTCAGCTCCAGCTCCCTGGGTCAGCAAACCTAGCACCCCCAATTAAGTACCCCGAGGCACTCCACTCCACAAATCAGCCTCCTGCCCCAAAGCACTACTCTGCCTCATGCTCTGACTGCTGGGTCTGCCGCTACAGGTCTGTCACTCCTCTGGTGTCAAAACTGACTTCTTGGATCAAGGTGGTTCATTGCACAGGGATCTCAGGGTCCAGAGGATGCCATTCCATACGTAGCACCTGCTGCTGAGATGGTTCACTTTATACCCAGCAAGATGGCAGTCCCTCACAGCTGAAGCATATAATGCAATCAGTACCTTCCCTCCAACTGTTTACCAGACCCATCAAAGAGTTACAGAGACTGGCTGGAAGAGTCACATTAAACCATTGACGTCTCTGTAGGGCCAAAGGTGGAATACTATGGATGGAAATAATTCAGTTTCCCAGTGCATTGCAAATGCTAATCTCTCTATCTGTGGTTATAATCCCATTGAGAATGGGCTCTTTGTTCTGTTACTGAAACATGGTTTGTGTAGGGTGTGCATTGAGTCAGTATCTTTTGAGATAAGAGATTAAACAAGCAAGTGAAGAAGCAGCGCG